CAAAATTGAGGGCAAGCGAGGAAGAGGTAGGCCCAGAACAACGTACTTAGGGAACATAAACAAATGGGTAACAGGGAAAGATCAGGGAAACGTAGCTTTTTTGAGAGCATCCAAGCAAAGGAATGAATGGAAAACCATGATCGCCGATGTCTGTCGCAGATCTGGCACTGGATGATGATGATAATGACACTGTTTCAGACGCTCACCTATCTAAGACAATGACTTTTCTACTTAACAGTGGGTGGCTGCATTAAACAATTCCAACTGTAGGCCTATCTATTTGTCACTTCAGTTTTAACTCTTAAGATGTTATTGTTTAAAACTTTGTTTCGTCTTTCTTTGCAGCGTTATCAAACCAGACCAGCACAATATTATACGTCTTTCGCACCGGGGGGCTCTGGCTGTTGCTATTGAGTTTACTTTGATGAAAATGTGATGCGTTGAAGGAAGGTGTTAACATAATACTACAACAGTAGGCGAAAAGATGTCGTCTTCTGTGGACACGATGTACCAACCCAACCAGTTGATGAACTGGATGTACTTGGCGTTCTCAGACCAGCCTTTACACCAGCATCCTGGACACATCAGCCCTTCTATACACACACGGAATAACAACAACAGCAACGGCAGCAGCAGCACCAGCAGCAGAAGCAGCAGTAGCAACAGCAACAATAGCAGCAGCAGCAACAGCAATGCAAGCAGCAGCAGGTCCAACAATGCCATCAGCAAAGGCAGCAATATCGATTTCTGGACGGGCGATTTCTCCGACCTCGAGCAGCGTAACCTCAACCAATACCTCTACGGCGACCAGATAGCGTCCTTTGCTGCAGCACCTGCTGGAAACGTCTGCTCGTCTGCAACACAGGCGGGAAAGAATCTGAATGGGGTTAACAACGGAACCCTCTACGGACTGACCAATAGCAATGTCCACACGCTGTCAAACGGAATGTTGACCAAGGGAGACATACAGGGCCTAACGAATGCTTATATGACCAAGAGCAGTCTCCACGGCGCACCGTCTATCTCAGGAAGAAATGTCCAGTCTCCCCTCTCACCGGCCCAAGCCATCAACAACTTCCCCGCTGCTTGTCTGCAGAGCCAGAATGTCTTCAGTGAGCCCTGGGACAGCCCCCATCAAGGATACAACAGCCTGAACTCGGTAAGGACAAACTGTATAAATTATGATTATTGTTGGTAGGTGGGTGGCGGGTGCTCTTGTATGGTTTCATTCTTCTTTCCTGTCAATAATGTATCATCCTTTTACCTTCTCCTTCTTTTCTTTGTATGTCACTCTCTCGTGACACTTCTGAACTTCGGCGCTCATATGACCTATTTGTGTTACTACTGAAGTAAAAGTCTTACTGAAACTAAAACTAAACTGCATGTGGCTAGAACCGTTCTAAGCCCAGAAGGCACTATTTTTCAGGAGAGAGGAAAACTGTTTCATTCTTTAAAAAATTGGAACCTACATTGTTTGTATTTTCCTGATTTTTCATTAATTTGCATTTCAACAATATACAATTTATTTTTCGTGGATATGTTTAAAAACTGCACCCCCC